TCGCAGATCACCTTTGGTGAGGATGAGAAAGGTGGGGGATCAATCCACAACTACACAGGAGCAACTTTGTTGATGGTCAGAAGGCAGTTGGAACCACAGTTCTCAAGAACACCACTGGTAGCGCACTGTGCTCTGTGGTACCCTTGGTTAATAAGGCACATGGCCAGACAGGACCAAAAACAAAACACAATCCCCAAGTACAGAGGTGGAAACATTATCCTTTGGGCCGTTTCTTCTGCAAAGGGTGCAGGATGACTTCACTGCATTGTGGGGCCAATAAAAAGCCCATGTATTGTAAAATTCTGAATAAGAACCTTCTCCCTTATCTAGAACACTGAAGGTGGGTCCTCATAACAATGACCCTGAACATACCATGAAGGCAACAAATGAGCAGCTAACGAAGAAGCACTTTAAGGTTATGGTCTAAACCTCAMTGGTTTGGAGGAGATTCTTTCACATGACTGTCGCTCATTTGATGGTTTGCTCTCACAAACACTCCATCTCATTTCCCCCAAATGACCCATCACAATGACCTGAACTCATTTTTTGATTCCTGGCTTTTTAAGATGCATATTGATACATGGATCATCTTGGTTCCAAAGATACGCCTTGATTTGTCTTCCTAATCAGGATCACCCATTGATATTTGGTCTGAATGTTTGATGTCATTTTAATAAGGAAACCTAAAAAAATTAAATATAAAGATTTACCAGCTGGAAAGAAAATTAACTTTACTTGCTTTCAGGGAAAATTACCCAAAAAATTGTCATTTTGCACAGAATCATGTTTTTTGTAGCAACTGCTCAAGAAAGCTTTGAAATGTCTGATTATTTTTCAGATAATTCATTTAAATGACCTGTAAATAAYGTGTTTGTTCYTTTTATTTTGACAAAATGCAGTTATTGCCAACGTTTTGCAATCTATTTCTCCACATATCACTTTGGGACTTAATCCTCAGMTCAATGTGACGAGTCGCTTATTTTATTACATCAGCAAAAWGTTTCAACATGGCCACTTTACTTTACATTGTATTCCATCTCTGTTTCTAAAGGAAATATGATTTGATCATATGTGATAACTAACATAATCCTATACTATAAAATATATACCTCACTCTTAAGAAAACAGATTATTTCCCCTATATTATAGATCAAATCTTTACAGATAGATTACCTCCTGTAGGAACACCATTTTTTTGGAACATGCCATTTCCTCAGTTCATACATACAGTATATTCTCCAGTTTGAAACGTCTTCTGAACACAGTTTTGACGCATGATTTTAACCTTAAACATTTTTTTAGCACCATGATCAAATCTAAAAGCTTCAAGGTATTTGTTCTAATAAAAATCAGTTGTATTATTTCAGTTGTTCATTATTTTTTGTCATAATTTTAAGAAGAGAAATTGCCGTCTGATATTTCTTAAAGCTCTGCTCAGACAAACAAGCCAAAAGAAAATGTATTTTTGTAGACTGTTGTGTAAATTTCAGTTTATGTTGTCTGCAGGCCAGAGGGAAAAGACTACACCGTCCACCGGTTGGTTTTGGGGACCCACACATCAGATGAGCAGAACCACCTTGTGATTGCCAGTGTCCAGGTACCAAACGACGATGCCCAGTTTGATACCTCGCACTACGACAGTGAAAAAGGAGGTTAGTACACCGAGTTGTCCTACAGCTTTTTACAGTATAAAACTAGTTTGAGAATGCACTGAAATCTGAGTGAAATGACTCACTGGGTCTGTTGCTGGGCTGTTTTTAGGTTAACTGACAGCAGCATGTTGTTTTTTATTTTATTTTATTCAAGCRATAAATATGGGACAATTGTGAAAAGCTGTTATCTGTTTAAAAATATCACAGTGTTTCTTTTTTAGCCATATCTGGTCTTTTTACATCTCGGTCACTTGAATCGTGTTCAACTTTTAAGCTGAAACTTTGTCTTTGTTTCTTCCAGCAGGTATGTTGTTCGGGTGCACTGCTGTCTGTAGGTGTTGTGCTTCTGTGGTTTCTTGTAAGAGGTAGTATACATATTTTATTACAAACACTGAAGGTACAGTACGTGTTTGAACTTCAGTACAAAGAGAAGCAAAGATCCACATTTCTAAATCAAGGGCTGATTGTTGTTGCCTGCAACCAAGGCTCCAAATCTGTCTTTATCAAAATTAGCTTGATTAATTCAACTGCAAACTGTTTGGCATCCATTGAAGTTGTGAAGCTGTTTGCTCTGTTTTGTCAGAATTTGGTGGATTTGGATCAGTGAGTGGAAAAATTGAAATAGAGATCAAAATCAACCACGAAGGAGAAGTGAACCGAGCACGCTACATGCCCCAGAATCCCTGCATAATCGCCACCAAGACCCCCACGTCTGACGTTCTGGTTTTCGACTACACTAAGCACCCATCAAAGCCAGGTGAGATCACATATAGGTTAGATATATTYTAGTGATCCAAACGTCTGAGTAAATGGATAAACTCAGTGTAATGTGCATTTCAGATCCCAGTGGGGAGTGTAATCCTGACTTGAGGCTAAAAGGCCATCAGAAAGAGGGCTATGGCCTATCCTGGAATCCAAATCTCAATGGCAACCTACTCAGTGCCTCTGATGARCATGTGAGTGACTGAATCTAATTACAGGGCTTTGGTTTGTCAGCTGGGCTTTCCAAAAGGGACGAGTCCACAGTTTTGTTCATACTATGAGGGACTTTTCAAAGCAAACCCAACTTTTTTTTTTTTCAGTATTCCTGAACTTGTATACACTCTTTAGAAACTGCACGTGCATCGAGCAGAGGGAGTCATTGATGAGAGGCTCTGCTCCATTTCCTCAGCTTTCCTGCTTTTCTAAGAAAATCTGAAAATGTTCAGTGAGCCAAGCAGAACTCAGCAATGGTGTCAGACACTGCCTCTGATGCAGCCGTGTGTGTGTGTGTAAACCACATTTAAAAAGCATTCTGTAAAAGTGTTTTTTCTCCATGTATGATGTTCAGTTAGTGAGACTAGATATGTTCTGTGTAGATGATGGGCACAGTGAAGGAATAAAAATGTATCGTCCTTCTTCTCTTTCTCCTTCAGACCATCTGTCTGTGGGACATTGGCGCCGGCCCAAAGGAAGGGAAGATCGTTGACGCCAAGACCATTTTCACCGGTCATACAGCAGTGGTGGAAGACGTTTCCTGGCACTTACTCCATGAATCCCTGTTTGGCTCTGTTGCAGATGACCAGAAACTAATGATGTAAGTGTCTAACTTAGAGAACAAGGCCTACAAAAATCTTATCAGTTCTAAACTGCGCACTGGCCTTTTTTAAACCAAACAAACCTTCCCTCAGCTGGGACACTCGGTCTAACAACACCTCTAAAGCCAGTCACTCAGTCGATGCTCACACTGCTGAGGTCAACTGCCTCAGTTTCAACCCCTACAGCGAGTTCATTCTTGCTACTGGCTCTGCCGATAAGGTAGAACATGCCCCAAAATACGTGTGAATGCTTGATTTATTTCTAGTGTCTCAAAGCACACAACTGTTTTCTGCTCTTTCAGACCGTTGCTCTGTGGGATCTAAGGAATCTCAAACTGAAGCTCCACTCTTTTGAGTCCCACAAAGATGAAATTTTCCAAGTAAGAACTTAAAAGACTTCGATCATGTTTTGTTTCACCACAGCTGCGTATGAATGCCCAAAACAGCAACACTGATACTCTGTTATAATTGGAAAATGTAGACATAATCACTTAATAGGTCAGCCTGTAGTGTAATTAATTATTGGAATAAAAGTTTCATACTATAAATCCTGGTGAGTTTTTATTCCCTCAAGGGACATAAATAAATGTTTCTTCAGATTGACAGTCAAAGGTCAAAGGGCTAGTGATTTCTAAAGAGTAAAACCATGATGGAGGACTGTAGGTGCACTTCATTTGTTCTGGAAAAAAAATTGTAAAAATTGGTAACTTCTTCCAGGCAGCGGATGTTTAGTTTATAGCTACTCTGTGAGTTTAAACCACAGATAAATGATTTAGTTTGTTATTCAAAACCATAAAAATTCATGTATTTCACCTTAATTTGACCAGATTCCCTGTTTTATTTGAGAAAGGTCTACGACAATCTTCTAAAGAGAGTCTTCGCAGCTAATGTTGAATTGTTGCAGAATCCAATAAGAATGGGTTTTAAATATCCATCTGTCCTGCTCTTTAGGTACAGTGGTCTCCTCACAATGAGACCATCCTGGCCTCCAGTGGCACTGATCGACGTCTCAATGTCTGGGATCTCAGGTAAGTATGTCCACGACAACGAACACTACATCTACACTCAACAAGCTTGCAAATTTATACAAAACATATTTTATACAAGTGAAACTACAACTGCAGAAACAGAAATGTTCAAAATATTTAAGGGTTCTGTTGGATTGTTGTTTTTTTCTAGTAAAATTGGAGAGGAGCAGTCTGCAGAGGATGCTGAGGACGGCCCACCAGAGCTCCTGGTAGGTGATGTTACTAAGTTGTCAGTAAGTAAAAACAAACACTGCATGTTAGATGGATAGAAGAAACCTAAGGTATATTTTCACCAACTGCAAATTTTAAGACCAATTTTATGTGAATAAATAATAATAATAATAATAATAATAATAATAATAAAGGCATCTAAAAAGTTGAACTTGAATTAAAATTTGTATGTTACAAATAAAAGTAGAGGCGAAAAACGTTCTTTGTGTTTAAAAAAAATCCACACAAAATAAGTAATTTGTTTATAATGATACAGACCTGACTGAGCACTGGTCTTTGGCCCTGGAGTAGTCCAAAAAAGATCCAGTTTCTCTCGATTGGACCCTTAAATTTTAAATCCATTCAAGTGAAAACCTGAGCATCTTTAGTAAATTCTGGTATTAACTTTTGACTTATGTGTCCACTCAATTCTCCACATGCAGTATGTATTGTATTACCTGTCATCCTGCTGCAGAAATTTCCTGCACATATTAAAAAACATTTAAACATAATGTGCTCAAAAGTCTTGTTTCCTGGTGGAAGTGAATAACCATTATTCAGGTTTATGTTGTTTCTCCTCTGAGCTACAAGGAGCCACTTCAGAAGGTCTGAATAGCAACATTAGGCTAAATCTTTTTCTTTTCCCTTCATCAGTTTATCCATGGAGGCCACACGGCCAAAATATCAGACTTCTCCTGGAACCCAAATGAACCCTGGGTAATCTGCTCTGTGTCTGAGGACAACATCATGCAAGTTTGGCAAATGGTGAGTAGTTTTTAATATAACACACATTGTTTCTTTTTTTAGTAACAGCAAATTAGAAGATCTGGTAGAATTAAAGGAGAATTATCTTTGTGGAGATTTATTATTACGCTACAGGTGCAACAGTGTCTGTGGAAGCTGCAGCCATGAGCCAATCAGCTTCAGGGAAATGTTTGTTATTGAAGCATAGATGAATCTTACAGCCAATCACCTGACAGGAGCTTCACAGCCCGAGTGGAACATTCTTACATTATGACACCTTAAAATTAAAAAGTGTGAAATGTTTAGGTAACATAAAAGTGTACCACAGCTTTGAATACTTGTGTAGTTTTTCATCCACAGTAAAAATAAGTATATATAGAATAAATAAGTGATTGGTATCTTTGCAGCTATAATGAGAAATCACTGGTTGGAAAACACTGACCTGTTAAACGTATTTAAAAATATTTATTTTGAAAGCTTCTTGGACGGTAATGATCGAAGACGATTTGCTCAGTTAATCCTCTGACATGTTGTGTCCCCTCTTGTCTTTCCAGGCCGAGAATATCTACAATGATGAAGAACCAGACAACACCCCCGCTGCAGAGCTGGAGGCTCAAGGATGAGGACTCGGGCTCTACGCAGGTTTCTGTCCAGGCACCGCATCTTGTCCGATCCCTGAGTGCAGCGCTGTCTCTGGCCCACCTTAGTCCAAAACTGTTAACGACGATCAAACTGCTTGCTCTCCTCACTAGCAATTTTTTTGGATTCAGGATCTCTAGGCCTAAAACTTAACCAAAACCAGGGATTCAAAAAAGAAAAAGTCACTTCACTTCTGCCCAGACTTTAAAGATTCAAAACGCTGACCCTCTCAGGTGGATCTACAGTATTTGTAAAATAGTATTTTGTGCTAAAAGGCATTTAAATAAGGGCATAAAATCTTTTCTGTTAAAAAAATTAAAAATACAGTTCATCTATTTTCATAATTAGCTCATTTTAAGGGCTTTTGCAAGAAGTGATTTTTTTTTTAAAAATGACAGCAAGTTGGCAGAATTTGTAAAAGGTTTTTCTGAAACCTGTAGGTGATGAGAATCAGTTAAAAATTTACATCTTTGATCAAGAAGAATGCTGGCTGCATCCAGCGACTCTCTCKTTTTCCTCCTGTCTACTCTGAGCTCTTCTGGCTGCTGTTCTGTTGTGTCAACACATCAGCGRAATCACATTCCCCGTTAGGTCTGCCTCGTCTTCAAGGTACATAAACACTTGTGGGTATTTGGTTTGTGTGAACAGTATGGGATTGTTACATTATTACAGAATGTGAAACTGCAGTGTTGTTTCCTGCACCACATGCTGCAATAAAGCTTTTTGTAACTTTTCAAAAGTAAGTTTGTCATTTGTTGATTTGTTTAACTCTGAACGTTCTGTCAAACTTAAAATTGGCTGTCTTACAGAACAGAGGAAAAACTGAGGAAATGATTCACTCATGGCAAATCCTAAAAAATGTTTATTGAAAAGTAAGATGGAACTAGAAGAACACTGTACAATCAAAAAAAGGGGGGGTTGTAGGCTCTTTTTTTTTAAGTAAAAATAAAGCACTCCAAAGCTCTGCCGACTCCTGGCCTCTCGTACGTCCTCGCCTGCAGAGGTAGATTCTGACGTTACCCGAGTCATTTTCGGGGCAATGTTYAAAGAAAAAGAGGAAGTAGAGGCTGGGAAACCTTTCCTCAGCTTGGATACGACTAGACCCATCCAACACTGGACCCAGTACAGATTCAAATCTAGTCTGGAATCAGCGTGAGGACCAAGTTAGAAAGGCCAGACATGGTCACAACAAAATCACATTTCACACATTCAGTTTTTCCCCCAACAGGCACAGTCTAGAATGAAACCATCAGTGACGTGACTCAAAACCAAAATATCTGATCTTTGACCTCTTAACTGGCAACAAGATGATAAAAAAGGTTAAGTGTTGATCTCAGATCAGTCTTGTGTAGGACAAARAAAATGTGAAAAATGAAATTACAGGAATTTGAGATTACAGGATCTCCTTTGGGAAGTAAGTGCTATCTTTAAGAGAACAGGTAAGTTACCTAACAGAACTGCATTATGAGCTACTGGAGTGAACTGAAGATCCGACAGGGAAAAAAAAAAAACCATGATTACAATGTGCAAATGATGCAACTATGAGAAGTGACTGACTTGAGTTCTCTTTACAAGTCAAAACAAAAAGACTTGAAGCTGAACTGACCCTGCTGGTATTTCTTACATTCACTATATCGAGTCTAAACGAACACAATGAGTTCAAAATGTACAATTAACTTGCTTTATAATACGATCCCCCCATATTACTCACTGATTATTGGAATGAACATTTTTATCAAATTCAAAAAGCAAAAATCACATTTTTTACTATCCATTATCCTGTTAATATAATTTATCTGAGACAAAGGTCTAAGACTTTATTTCTCTGTACGTAATGAGCTCACTGTGAACATCTCACTTCACTTTTTGTTCACTTTACAATAATATGCCTTGAACTGTATTTTTTAAAACCTTGTTCCTTATTTTCCCTTTATCTCAAAAATAAACTACACACAACAGAAGAAAAGAGYTAAAACAATCACAAAATTATGATTCTGAACTGGTTGCTCTGCCAACACCTACAGTACATTTTAAAGATATATATATATATATATATTAAAAAAAATACTTTCATGATCACTGACCCTGAGTTCCATTGAAAACGATTTGAAAACTGGGCAACAAACCACTCGCCTTTAGAGGCAAATATGAAGCTGAAGTTAAGACTTGAGGACAGCAACGTTCCCGTAAAACGGAGAGCTGAGATGTTGCCTCGTCCTCTACGCTCTGCCCACGGCGCTGACTCCTCTGCACCGCTGGGTGATCAGCAAATATTTAGAAATGTTTCAATTTGAGAGCAGAATCTTTCAATTTTTTCTAATCATTTTTAGTTTTTGTTTAGTGTCATGGTTTTAGTGGGCACACAGGTTGAGTCGTTGAAAAACAGCTGATGAAAAACMAAACTTACGTTAGATGGATCTGACAGCTTACATTTTCAGTGATCTGATAAAATATTAGTAACTGGAAGTATATCCACACAGATTTTACTCTACAGAATAAAAATACAAAGAGCATAATTAGACCTTAAAACAGTTTTGGTTTGATGAAGTACTGTATGAAACTGCAGTTACGGTAGAAACGGGGAGTACTAAGTCCTGATTATTAAAAACCAATGTTTATGTGGGCAAAGTTTTAGAAGAGAATCGTGATACAATCGTTTTATTGAGTGAAACATTAAACAAAAAGATATGGTTTCGTTCAGAACCTGGAAAGAAAAGTCTTTAAAAATATTCTCCACTTTTTATAAAGATGTTTCTGTCCTTTCACCCCTCCCACCACACCTTCCTCACCTGCACACAGACCAGGTGGTGTTCCTCAGTCCTGCTGTGTGCTCGGTGTTTGCTCGGCAGCAGCCAGCGAGGGCTCTGTTTCAGGCAGCCTCTGAGCTTCGTGGACACCTCCGGTCTCCAGCTCTTCGCTCTCTGCTGAATCCTCAGAGTCTGCTTTCTCCTCTTCATCTTCCTCCTCCTCCTCCTCCATGGCTGAGGGCTTCTGCTGCTGCTGGGTGGGGGCAGCAGGTGTCCCTTCATCCCCCGGCTCCTGCAGCAGGCAGAGCTGGTTGCTCAGGTCGTTCCTCTCCTTCTGCAGAGCTCGGCACAATCGCTCCAGCAGCTCCAACTTCTTCTGAAGGGCTTTAAAATGGCCGTCGCGCAGAGTTTTCTACAACACAGTGTTTCAGGAAGAGCCACGAGCTTAGACACAACAGTTCAGAAGATACAGCAAATACATTTGACCACCATTTTGTATAAAACTACATGAAAAATCAGTCATGATAGTGAAAGCATGATAGGAAAGTAGGTGGACTTGTCTTGTTGTAAACAACTAAATTCACCTCTTCTGCCATTTGCAGCAGGGCCTGGTTGTTACTCTCCCATTTGGTCCTCCATTGAGTCGTTTCCTTTTCCAGCTTTTTGATCTTCTTGGTCATCTGGAAGAAAAGATCTAACATTTTACGGACAGCAGAGAAATAAAAAGCAAGAACCCCCCTCAAGGTCCAATACTTGCTCCTCCCACCTTATTAGATTGAAAATCCCAAAAACCAAGACTTCCTTTGGCCTGACGTCTTTCTGCTTTGCTGCAGCAAATGATTGGAACTTCTATCAAAACATACTGCATCTTGACACTTTGATTTCTTTTCCTGCTTTTAAACACAGACTAAAGGATCATTTTAAGAAGTCGTAACGTTTTTAAAGAATGAATGCACTGCACATTTTATATGTTTTATGTACCGTTTATGTGGTTTCCCCTTCCCCATCTTACCATTTTTAAGTGTTTTAAGTGTTTTTGCACTCTCAGGCCAACGTTGTAAATAATAAACTGTTCTTAATGTTTGTCTGTTGAAATAAAGGTTAAATAAAAGAAAATAAACCTTTTTATTCTTTCAGAATGACAAATCTGCAAGAACAGTTTACTCAGTACATATTTGTTTGTGTCTTTTCTCTGTTCTTGTGTTGATTTCATTTGTGTGTTTTAATCATTGCTGCATTATTTATTTGAGTAGTTGTTTAATGTACTGTCACTGTGAGACTTTGAAACACTTTGAGGGGGGAAAAAAACTAACATTTCAACTTTTACTCTTCTTCCTCACCTTCTCCATTTCTTGTCTAAAAGTAGTGAAGACTTCGTTGCTTTTGGCCAAAGTGGTTTGAAACTCTTCAAACTTGTTCATATACAGAGAGAGCTGAGAAATAAAAATGAGCAGATTTAGTCCATAAATTACCTTTAATGGCATTTATAATACAACTTGTTCTATTATTGACTACTGTATGCGAGTTATAATAAATAAATAAATAAATAAATACATGTGTGCTCACCTGTTGTTTCAGCTGTATTTCCTGCTCCTTCATCAATTCACACTTGCGTCGAGACTCTATTGCATCCTTCAGCAGCTGGAGCATCACAGCACAGACAGTTCTTTAGCTCTCAACCAACGCTGATCCTAATCATTGCTAAACTTGATCTTTTCAAACACTTTGGCTAATTTTCATGTTTTTTGATAGTGCAAAAAAAAAGGTCAGATGTCAATGATAATAAAAGAGAAGCTCTTACGAATTCTCCCTCTCGCTGCTGCTTCTCCTCCACTTCTTTCATCATCTCAGTGATTCTCTGCAGCTTGGCATCCATCAGCTGCTGCTGCAGCTCCTTGTGCTTCAACACTTTGCCTATGTGCTGCAAGAGGAACAGGTCAGAGTGGATTACATACATTGACATGATGAACCCACAGCATCTGGACAGATTTCATGATTTTTGTTCAGACATTTCCAGGTCTGTTTTTAGACTGTTCAGCATCTTAAAGAGCATCAAATGCATCTAAAAATTTGAGTCAATGATGACAAAAGTTGTAAATCACCTAATAATTATACCAACCTGCTGTTTGTAGTTCAGTCGAAATGGACTCAATCATTAGCCAAAGGTCTTAAACAAATAGGTACTTTTGGTAATGTTTAAGTTTTTGTCAGAGTTCTTACACACATCTCCAAACAAGTGCCAACTCATTTACAATACTGTCACTACCTCAGTGTTTTATTGAATACTGGACATGTATATAACATTGTAATTAATTCAGTTCCTTATGTCAATAAAATAGGTTTTCATAAATAAATTTTATTTAATGGAAAAAAAAAACCCGACCATAAGCACAGCATGATAATTAACAGACTGTAGAAAAATAAAGCAGCTTTGAGCCGTCTCACCTCCTCCCTCAGCTCGTACTGCTCAATGAGCTTCTTGAGCTTCTCAGCCAGCTCCATGTTCTCTTGTCTCAGCTTGGAGTTGTGTGAGCTGTGCTGTTCCATCTGCACTTCAATGTCACCCAACGTCATTTGAAAGTGAAGCATGGCTTCCTTGCGTTGCTCCTCATACTCTCTGGACCTTTGGGAATTCTCCTCCTGTTATGTGAGGGATGAAGGAACAGTTAGCACTTGCACAGCTCCACCGTGGAACTACAGTGAAATATTACCACTAGGAAAGGTGGAAGAAAAAGGTTAACAGGAGGTAAGTACAATCCAATAAGTACATAAAAATTCATGCCCAGTAGAGATTACATTTGCAACCACGTTTTTAAGGACAGAATTCTAATCGATAATACTGATTGATTGATTTTTTTAGGTACCCCAGTACATCTTTTAACTGTATTACTGCCCAATCCTAATATATAAACTCAGACGTGAAATAGAAAGTCTAACACTTTTAATTCTGAGGTTTTACATACCAAGACACATATTCTAAAATGATTCAAATCTAGGTGAGGTGGAAAGACATCAGCAATGATCTTAGAAAAGTTACAACTGCTGTCCATCAGTCTGGGATAAAAGTCATTCCCAAACCATTTAAAGTACATTACTACACAGTAAAACATAGTTTCATGATGAAAATTGCGTCACTCTGTTCGCATTGTTGATATGTTGGCAGCTTCTGATACAACCCGCGGGTCGAACTTTTTACCCCCTCCACATAAGAACTTTATTGTGTGATTGGTAGGGATGGGTACCTTTGACATTTGAATTGATTTGTTACCAATATCCTGTACCTGGGTATTGGTACTGGTTACTTAACAGTACCAATTTTCGGTACTTTGTGTGTTGTTTTTTTTAATAATAAAWTTTTTTTAAACGTACAGGTCCTTCTCAAAAAATTAACATATAGTGATAAAGCTCATTATTTTCTGTAATGTACTGATAAACATTAAACTTTCATATATTTTAGATTCATTGCACACCAACTGAAGTAGTTCAAGCCTTTAATTGTGAGCACMACGTTCGCTTACTCAAAGTAAATAAAGTACCGCCAAGATAATTAATCCACCAGATAATTCAGAGGTGGTCTGTTCYGTGAGTTTCACTCCAGGAGCTGCGAGGCTTTCAAGCTACAGACCAAACTCTGCCTCTGTTTACTGAACAAGCAGCTACTGACATCATTATACTCTTGCGCGATGCTGCGTTCAGGACAAGCATGGAAAACTCACCACTCTTCCTCCAATATGGTCGCAATCATGTGTTTAGGTACCAAAACATMGTACCGTTTGATGTTATGTGAACAGGTACTCAGTAGTACAGACAGAATTTGGTCGGTACTTTTAAAATATTGAATTCAGTACCCATCCCTAGTGATTGGTCAGACAATCGTGGGAGTGTGTGTTTGTGCTGAAAGCGCTCAGATGCAGCATTTTGCTTAAAGCACTCACTTCAAAAAAAATAATAATATTAATAATAAATAAATAAGCAACTCGCTTCCAGAGCCGTCTGTTGTACCAGGAAGCAGCAGTTAATAAAGATAATCAAACAGACAAAAACTCATGGATGGAGATAAAACAGGCATTTTGCATGGTGGAATCTAACTTTGGAGCTTTAACCGCGACAGATTTGTGGGTAAATAACATTGGGTGATGAGGTCCCCCCCCTCCCCCCATAGTGACGTCACCTAAAGTACCTCCCAGCATCTCACCCCCAACATCTGACTGTGCAATGCTCAGAAAAGTGACAAAAACCTYAGAGCTCCATCACAGACTGAACACACCTTTAGCTGGATTTATACTCTGTGAGAAATAAAGAAACCTGCTCTTGCTGATGTAGCTGCAACAAGTTCTTTCACTGTAATTTTAGATTTTAGAAAGAAACAAATTCAAACTAAACTGGCAGGTCAGAGCTTTACAAAAATCCATTAGGCCATCTCAAGTGGGCGCTTGTGAAAGGTACAGGATAAAAGAAATTGAAAAAGAGGGAGATTAATAAAGATTTTACCTTCAGTGTTTTGTTGTGCCTCTGCAGCTCTCGACAGAGACTCTCCAGCTTGCTGCGGGCCAGAATGGCCTTGCTGTGTTCCCCCTGCAGGTGGATCTTCTCRTTGACAATCTGAGATTGCTTTTTCTGCAGGGCTTTCAGCTGCTTTTGCATACCTCGACTCTCTTCCAGCTGAACAAAGCACAGACCAAACAAAAACAAGTTACTTTACAGCTGGATTGTTTACTTTTTAAGCGTATGTTAAAAATAAAGTCTTTTAATTTACCCTGAAACTCAAGAAATGTATGTCACCATTAAGTTTAAATATTTAAATGCAGATATTCAGAATCTTACCAAGTCTGCATATTTCTTGCACAGAGCAGCTAGTTTCTCCTCTGGTGTGGCTAAAGAGTTAAGGGCTTGCATCAAGAGGACAACCTCCTTGCCTAAATAAAAAATAAAATAAAAAAACAGGGAATAACAGGTTTTATTTTTTGTAAAAAATAAATTAATTAATTAAAGTGAAACAAAAATACATTTCTAGCTTTACAATGTCTTTATTCAAGCATTTATATTTTAACTTACTTCTAATTTAATTTAAAAAAGGCTTTCACAGTAACAGAGGCTACCTATTTGCAAAGACAAAATCTCAATTTTAAAACGAAGCATTTCCTCATTAAAATTCCTTTTAACGCAATACTTTTTTTAAAGAAAAAWATATATATGGTGGGTGCTCCTTTGTGTTTTCAAATGGACAAAAATGATCAAAAAATGTTAAAATCTGCATCATTATTGTTTTTTATTAATTAGCTGTGTTTTATTTGTACAAATACCTGTGTTTACAACACGGAGGATATTATTTGTAGGTTTCCACTGATGAAAAAGATCAGTAATCTGGTGCTGTTTCAAATTTTAATTGTAAAAATTATTTTATCAACAGTCAATTTTTTTTAAATAAACCTGGAAATAAATTTAAAAAAAATGCATTCTGTAATTATAGCTATTTGTTTTGTGTCCAAAGTCATATTTGGCAAACATAGCACATGGTCGTTGTAAAAATGTATGCTTTGCAGGAGTGCAAGGGTACTATATTCTATGTTATTATTTATGTTGCAAGTACAAATTGTCTTTCCATATAATACCATGCCTGTATAGTAACATGCATCATGTTTTGTGGGGCTCCTACCAAAGGATTTGTCCTCTCCAGGCTTAGCGTCTTCTCCAGGATCAAGCTCTGCCTCCCCCAGCTCACTGGGGCTGTCCTCACTTCCAGGAGTTTCACCCCTCTCCTCCCCAGTGCAGCACAAACCTAAATGAAACTCTGCAACCTCCTCCTGATTCAAAACACACACATTTGATTATAAAACAGCCGTCATGCTTCAAAGAAATGCTTAGAGAGGCTTTGCAATTTCCATTTTCCACAAGTAGAAGAGAATTTGTGCTTGTTTGACTTAAAAAAGATAAACTAAAATGAAAAACTGTTTTAAATATATTACACCGTAAAAAAAGGTTTAAAATGTTTTAAATTGTTTTTACATGAAAGTCAAAACATATTTATATAAAAAATACAAGTTACAAACCATTCAGTAACARTTAAGTTACAGATTAAGAAAAATGAACTAATTTTATACCATCATTTCACAAAATAATCTCAGCATTACCTGACTCGGGCTGTCCAGGTCAGGAGAATCACTGCCGCCCACTATTCTTCTGTTCGGCAACTCCATCTCACAAACTGTAGTCGTCTCCATGACTGCTGATCAAAACTACCGAGACGCAATGAATCAGAATAATTAGAAAATGACCCATGCTTAGCATGATTTGTCATATTAAAACTGAGCTATAAAATCCCAAATTTCTGCCATTATGATAAGATTATGATTCACAGGACAATAATTTGAGTAGCGTTGAAGCCAGYTGTCTTGCTAGGCTGCGACTTCTGACGGCTAGTTGGCAAACTGCTTTGACAAAAGTCTCAAAACATTCACAGGGTTCCAGTTTCTTTGTGTGACTTGCAGATGCTTGCAGCACTCATATGTTTACACAGAGGCTGTGCAGAAKACACATGACAATCTGCCGGTGATTTCTGCGGGTGTTTCACTGTAGTGGAGTAAAGATCTTCAGTGTTTTTTGTGTTGACAATAAACTCTGTGATATCAATAAACATACGCACCTTCACTTTTCTCAAATCATGTTAAGTTACACAAACAAGCTCAACATGAGTTGGGGAAATAACTTCAAAAGTGCAACTCAGATGACTGTACTGGATCACAAACAAAAACTATCATTCATACACTTTAGATTGGTTAAAGGTTTTTCAGACTACATAACCAATCATGTTTTGTTGCTCAGCTGCGTATTTGTATGTAGAAGGAGGTGAGTGAGATCTGAATCAGACCTCAACTAAAAAAAAAAAAAAAAGTTCACTTGTGACCAAATCAGCTTAGCTGGAGCTCCTACTCGAAAAAAGAAACTAGTTTTATAAAACTGTCTCTTTAAGTCAAGTAAGGTATCTTGTTTGGATCACCATATATAGACTGAAAATCTACAATAACACACAACGACAGTCAAACTTCAAAAAGTCAGAAAAACGCACAGACATGATGCTAAATCTAAACACTTTAGCCGCACTTATACAATTTTATCAAGTTTAAAGATTAAAAAAACGACAGGTGTAACACCATCCAATTTTTAAAAAAAATACAAACAAGTTTAATAAAATTGACACAAAGTTTGAACCACGACTGGCAGAACAGAGCGCGTGGGTTTCCTACATCACAGCTCCAGGTCATGTTAGCTACTTGGCTAACACGCAGCAGTTGTTATTTCCCCCTGACAGTTTAGCTTGGAAACCATTTGCAGTCTTAAATGTTCCCTCAACCCTTGGAAAATGTTATCATGGAAACTAAACAGAGCATCTTCTAAGTTAAAACCAAATACGCATACCATTAGTCAGGAACATTTGTTAGCATGGCTAATATTAAGCTAAAGGCTAGTTGGTGGCTAGCCCCCCTTGGCTAACACGAGAASTGAACTTTTACTTCGAAAAATATCAATTCTGTCTTACTGAAGGCAAACGCTATGTTACTACTGCAACAGCAAGATATCACACAGTATGATGACGATAGTTAAAGTCGACATGACACATTACCGACAACACAAATTTGTAACAAAAACACCTAAAACGTTTACCTGTATGTTTTCACTGTGGTACTGGTCGACAAAACACACGACACGACTAGCAAATTGTCCGCAATACTAACTCGTCCAACTTCCGGTTGGAGCCTTTCGAAATAAAACTCCACACAAGAAGGTTGTACAGAGCAGTGGTTCCCAAACTTTTTGTCTTCTGACCCACAAAATATCCATGGCAAAGACTTGTGACCCCAAATATTACTGGTCTGAGTACACAAACTT